TCACTGTTACTTAACTGTAGAGGACTTCGGTGCGTGCATGTGTGTGCGTGCATGTGTGTGCGTGCATGTGCGTACGAATGTGCTAATAGCAATTCGTGATAAATGCCTCTGCTGCCCACACATTCAATAACACCCACATTCACACACCCACACCCACACACACACACACACACACACACACACAGAGCAGGGGAGAGGGAAGCCGCTTTTATGGGAGATAACATAACTGCTTGCAATTTGGCTATTCATTGTGTCTTTGGCATTTTATGTACTGCATTAGCAGAGGCAATTTCATGCATATGGATATAATGCATTAAGTGGAGGCATTTAAATATAGTGAAACTAATTTTATGATGATTAGTTGAAGGAAAACATTGCATTTGTATCATCTATATAGAAGCCAATTTGCATGAAAATGCCCAAAGTTGCTATGCCAACATTTTCTCTGCTGCTGGTCGGGGTCGTCTCCGAGTCAAGACTTTGTATTAAAAATCGGTCTCCAGTGCCCATGTCTTTTAATTCATTGCAAGCTGTAGGCCATTTGCTCACAAAGCGCTCGCAGTAAAACAAATGAATAGCTAAAATACTCATTTGCATGATTCCCATTTGAAAACGATTCCCCTGAAATTAAAAAAGCGTGTTACTCGGTTGTGAAGATGGATGGGCCAGCCAGGCGGGCAATTAATATTTCCGGCATTCTCTTTAAAGCCCTCCCAAGACTGAGAACAGCACATGCCAGACAAATGGGGCCCCGCAACAGTTTTGGGGCCTCGGCGGCAGCAGCTTGCTTCCACTGTCTCCCCTTTATTGTCTCGCTTACATTATGCAGTAATTAAAACTATTTACCATTCCTACTTAGCCACCATCTGCTACCATGGAAGGTTCCTCTTCTTTACAAAGCCTTCTTAAAGAGCAGGAAGCAGAGGGGAAGACGGGGCGGCTGTCGGCTGTGGAGAAGGGTTTAGGGGGTCTTTGTCCCTCTGCCTGCCCTGTCCACCTGTCCTTCCAGGGAAGGAGTGGCGGAGGAGGCCTTGGAGTGCGAGGTGGAGTTTCTGAGTGAGTTCACTGTGGGAGAGGGGAGTGGGTCAGAGCACAGCTTCCTCCACCTTTGTGCTTGGAGCTGAGTGGATCTGTAGGTCTGGAGGGAGCCTGGGCGCGGACCGCTCACGGTGATCACTAAAATGTGCCTGGGGCCTTGGCCATGGAGCTGGGGTCTGCGGCAGAGCCACTAACTGTGGTATGATTGGAGCTTCAAGGCCTAAGGAGTGGTCAGTGGTGCATTCAGCAGCGGGAGGCCCTTTGGTTTGGGTTGGCCCCCGAGAGGGTGCCTTCTTCCAACCCCCACAGACGTGTGCCATGGCCTCCTTGCCATGGGCTGGTCAGAGAGAAGCCGTTTTGAAAGCAGCCAGCTTGCTGCCCTTGTAGTCTGTTTCTGCCTCAGGTCCCGGCTAGGCATGAGGTGTGAGGTATGAACACTTCCGCCTCCCAGATCCAGCCTTTGAAAGCAGCACAGACTCATCGGAGGAAATGCTCATGAACATGGAAGATGGAACTCTTGTCACTAGGACAAAAGGTGGCTGGGGCCTGTAGACAAGGAGCAGACCCAAGCTCTGGGAGTCCTGGGCCCTGGCAAGAATGGTGTTGCTTGGCCTTGTGGAGCCCAGCCCAGTGCTGGCACCTTGAGGGTTTCCCGGGGGCCTGTCGAGTTAGGTCAGTAGTGGAGCTCCCGCCTTGACGGGACACCTCTTCTGAATCTGCATCCCTTTGGAAGAGTCTTTTCCTGGTGCACAGTGAAACGGTTTGGATTTGCCCAGGTTGCGCCCTGGCTGTGATTTTCTGGCTCCGTTCCTCAGCAGAGGCCTCGAGGCCGAGGCCTAAGCCTGGAACCACTCCTTCCCTGTCCACTGACGCCATCGTCTCCACATCTCTACCTTCCCAGATGAGGACACACACTTGTCTGGGGCCCACAGATGGTTCTGCAGCCTTGACTAACAAGTGTGGGTTTGAGTTGGTGCTTTTGTGACCATCCTTCTCTCCCACACTGGTGTCCTGAAACTTCCTGGCTCTTGGTGGATCAGAGTGGTCACCCAACTGTTCTTAATGCTGGTGTGGAGATGTTGTTTGGGTCCCACTGACTTTGTCCGATAGCGAGGCAGGTGGGTCCCACATCATCACTGCTAAGGAAGCGGTAGCACCTGCAGGGCCCCATCAACCTCACATCCCGCACAAAGGCCCTCGAGGGGCTCTGCGAGTTCTCCCAAGGGCCACCCAGAGCTCATCCCTGCTGGCAAGGTGACTGACAAACACATCAGCAGGGAAAGGCAAGGCTGTCCTCGAGGACAGTGCTCTGGGGCCTGGCCGCAGCCACCACGGCTTCCCCAATGCTGTCACGGCTCTTCTACCTGCGGCCCCATCTCCCTGCTTTCCCAGCCTGGCCAGGGCCCACGGCGACCATGTAAGGACTTCAGCTTCCTTAGCCTGGGCTGCCCTCTCCTTCCGCCCACCTCTGTGCCTCCAGGTCCCCCAGACACTCTGTTCTTCCTGGTTTCTCTTCTGCCCAGTAGAGGCATAGTGGATTTCACTGTCTGCTGAGTCTCCGCAGTACAGGTACGTCTCTGGGAGCAGAGGGGACACACAGTTTACATGCTCAGAATCTGCAGCCTGACAGCTGGTTATTGCTCTTAGCTCTGTGATTCAGAGCCAGGCGCCCTGGACACCAGGCCTGGCTTTGTACAGGAGGGACACTGTGACTGCCCAGCATTCAGCCTTGGCCAGATGAGGGCTATGCTAAGCTGTGACTCAGTGACTCCCTGATGTCTGTGGCTGCTCCTGCAGTCCTCATTCAGTGATGGGAAGACTGGGACTGAGAAGACCCCGCTAGAGCCCCAGGGCCAAGGCTGTTTGTTCCCCACTTGCTGTGTGACCTCAGGCAAGTCACTTGCCTTCTCTGAGCCTCCATCTGCTCATTTCCATCCTACATCTGCAGCAGCGCCCCAGCCCGCACTCCCACACACACCCTAGAAACGGTTATCAGGAAGCTTCGCGATTAAGATGTGATCAAGACAAGCATTCCTAGTGCCTGAGCAAGACATTAGTAAAAGTAAACCAGGAAGCAGGACTCTACAAGGGGGTGGGATGAACAGAAAAGTCAAAATCTACCTCTCGGAAACCTTTCTTTCAATCTTGCAATTTGGAGCAAAAGGGTGGGTGCAGGTGGGGAGGAAGCCAGCTACTCACTTAGCAAATACCACTAAAGATCAATACGGGACCAAAATAGAATCCCACATAGGAAGCGATCTTGCTTCACAGCACTGGGGAAAAAAATTAACATGGAGAAGCCATTTAATGCAGAAAAAATATTTGTATGTAAGAGGAAATATTTTAGGTAGGAGTTGAATACCAAATGATTTTGGCTCTCTGTGGGGAGTAATGAGGCATAGCAGCCCACAATTCTATATGCATGTGATATTATCATCGCAGGCCTCGCAAAGCTTTTAAATCACAGAAATGCAGTTAGGGTCCATTGTACAAAATAAACATCCCACTTGGTGTCTTGCCTGCCCTGAGTTCCTTGATCTAGAGCAGCACTGCCAGATTTTTACAGCCCTGTAAATTAACGCGGTGCTGATTTGATTGAGCTAAATTAATAAGACTTGTGCTTTGTTGCAAAATAACTATTACAGTATGTTGCGGGGACGCGTTGCTGATAAGGAAATTGCTGCCTTTAACAACCCCACTGAAGTTTCATGGAGGATTTCAAAACCGATTTTAATTAAAGCAAAAGCCGATGTGTGGCAATAATGTGGGTGTTAAAGAGAGAAAATGCAAATGTCTTTTTAAATCCATTTTAATATGTCTTAAGGACTGGATGATGGATGTGGTAAGAGCTGGCAGCTGACACGGAGCTGAGCGGCTGCCTGGACTCTGAAGGCCTTAGCAACTCTGGACCTCGGGCCACACCAGGGCCTCTGCTGCCGCTCAGCTTCCAGGCCAGGGTTGGGGGCTGCAAGGAAGGGTGGACCCCAAGCGGGGGCTCCCAACCCGGGGGAGCCTGGGCCTACTGCTTCTGACCACTTGCGCTGGGCAGAGGTCACGGGGCCACAGGGCTGGAGGCTCAGCCATCAAGGACCAGGCTGCCCCGGGCTCTCTACCCTCCGGCAACAGGGAGGGGTGAGGCTTTTAAATAAGGCAGCAAGAGCAAAGGCTGTGTGTGTCCAAGGAGCTGCAGTGGGGCTTGGCTACTGGGTTAGCAAGCCTGCCACTCACGGGGAGCCGCCATGGCTGAGAGGAGACACCAGCTCTGGGCCAGAGTGGGGAGCACTGTCCTGACCCAAGACTGGGAGATCTGTGGATCCATCTGTCCCAAGCACCCATCACCATTACCTCAATTTCCTTAACTATAAGACGGAAGCAATGAGAGACTTAAACACACACAGCTGCTGTAAAGATTAAATGAGGTTTTTCACTGGTGTGCAGATGCCTAAGTATGGCAATTATTGATATAAAAAGAACAGCAGTAGCAGCTGGGCATGGTGCATACCTATATTTCCAGCACTCAGGTGGAAGGCTGAGGCAGGAGGATCACTGGGAGTTCAAGGCCAGCCTGAACCACATAATGAGACCCTGTCTCAAATCAAAAGAAGTAGAAACAATACACTTTCCTATTTTCTTGTCATGCTTAAATTGGAGACAGATGGGGCTGGGGATGTGGCTCAGTAGTAGAGTTCTTGCCTTTCATGCATGAGGTCCTGGGTTTGATCCCCAGCACTACACAAAAATAAGTAACTAGGAGACAGCCCTTACTTGACACTTCAGTTTGAGTCTAGAGCATGTCCAAAGGCCCGTGCACTGAAGGGTTAGTCACCAGCCTGTGGTGTTACTGGGAGGTGGAGGGCTCTTTAAGAGGTGGGGCTTAGTGGGAGGAAGTAGGATCATTAGGGGTGTGGCCTAAAAGGGATATCAGGAAAGACCCTGCTTTTCTCTCTCTCTTTGCTTTCCAGATGCTGTGAGGTGAGTAGTGCCCCCTGCAACATGCTCCTGCTACGACGTCTTGCCTCACCATAGGCCCAAAGCCACTGTCCAGTAGCCGTGGACTGAACCCTCTGAAACCATAAGCCCAAATAGCGCTTTTTGACTTTAAGTTGTTACAGTGATGGAGAAATAACTGACATAAGAGTTATATATAAGAGTATATAAGAGGGACTTCCAGGAGAACATGGCAGACAGATAGCAGCAGCTACGGAGGCTCTCTGTAAGACCCAGCTTAGAATCCAGGAATGGTGCAGAGTGAGGAATCCTAAGCAAGAGGAGATATACCCTGCTGACCCAAGAACGAACTGGGCTGAGAGAAACCAACTGGGAATGCAATCCTGGTGCTATAACAGGAACAGATAAAGCCTCAGGATGGAAGCTGGAGCCCGTGCCATTGGAAGATGCGGTTTGGGTTTTCTGCCGCCGCTGTAGCGTCTGAATTGGCTTGGCAGGGAGAGAGATGCGTGAAAGCTCTGAGAACAGGAATCGGTGAACGGAGTTGAGAGCGGGACAGGCAGGGAGCTGTGCATCAACCTGCAGTGAGTGAGAGAAACTGGGACTCTTCCACAATCTAGGAGGCTCCAACAGAGGACATTCTGGGACCAGGCAGACTTGCTGGAACAGGGCGCTGTAGTGACTTCAGTCACATATCCCCCTCTCAAGCGGGATTGGTGAGCAATGCCTAACCTACGTGACGCTGCTGGCTGAGACCCAGTAGGCTAGCACAACCCAGGTCCCAGCGCCTGAAGGTGACCTGGAGGGGCGGGCCCCACATGGGCTGCCTGGTCTGTAACTCCCTGGTGCACTGCGGTGGGTGGGAACACCTAGCTGGCGCAATTCAAACAGACTGTGGCCAACAGGGAAGGAAGCTGGGCCTCCTATATAAGCTTGTATATAAGGAACAAAGAATATGGGAAGAGGGAGCAACAAGAAAGGCTCCTCGGCCCCCAATCCTGAGAAACAGGCAATAGCAGACACAGCACCAATAGACATAAAGTGCTATCTCCAGAGCCTCACAGACGAGTTCAGGAATGAAGTTATTAATGACCTGAAGCAAGACATAAGCAGAATAGTTAGAGAAATGCTAAGCACCACCCAAGAAAAAACAGATGGTGGAATGGAAGAACAGAAAAAAAAGGGGAGAATTGTTTAATGGAGAAAATAGAGAAAGCATAGAATACATGAAGCAGGTTCAAAGAGATTACCAGGAAACTAAAAACTCTATCGAAAACTGGCATAACAGCTTGAAAGAAACTAAGGACAGATTATCTGAACTGGAGGGCAGATTTGTAATATGGGAGCATGAAATGAAAAATTTAAAAGGTAAAGATACTCAGATGTATGAGGCATACAGGACCCCAGCCACCTACAACCCAAACAGAGCTACACCCAGGCATATAATAATCAAAATACCATAAATCCAATATAAGAACAGAATATTAAAAGCTGTCAGAGACAAGAAACAGATCACTTACAAGGGAACACCCACCAGAATTACAGCAGACTTCTCACACAAGCCATCAAATCATGAAGAGCGTGGGGGAAAATAATTCCAGCTTTGAAAGATAATAACCTCCAGCCAAGATTGATATATCCTGCACAACTATCCCTGGAAATTGATGGAAAAACAAAGTACTTCCAGGATAAAGAGGAACTAGGGGAATTTGCAAACACCAATTCAATTCTCAGAGAATACTGCAGGATATTCTAAAAAAGAAAAATATGAAGATTCCAGAAATAGTGGCAGAGAGGCCACAATTAATGGAGCAGAAAACAAAATGAAGAAGACAAACTGACAACTAATGACAGAAAAAGAGCTCAACAGAAATGAGGCAGAGAAGGTTGGATGGTAGGAACAGCCATTTTGGAGAAAACGATGTCATAATAGGTAATGCTGATTTAGTATTATCTTGTTTTGAAGTCCCATCAAGCTTTTGGTCTTCTGTCTCCATAGGTCTTAACATGTTATATCTTATTGGATTTTATTATATGTGATAGTATAAACAAAAACTTTTATAGACAAGGAGATTATACAGAAACCATTGTTCATTTTCTGTTAGTTGATTCTAAATACCCTGTAATACTGTCATTCTCTTGAATGGTTTTACATTGTTTTGATATATTTGATGCTACAGTATACGAAGTTATACTCAAAGATTTCAAGGAAAGAGACAATATGGTAACTACTTTTGTGTCGGGATTATCTTGTGGTGAAACACTATTTTGCTTAAACGGTTATGTTTTGATCTGCACTGTTTTGCTGTTATGCCCTCTTTTATCTCAATCTCCATTTTATTATTTACTTTTTTATTTTTATCCTTTTAGTTAAGGGAAAAATAAATTTTAAAAAACAGGATATATTATAGTAACCCACTTTGATTTTCTATTAACTTGATTTGAAGCCCTGTATTGCTCTCACCATCTTGTTTTGACTGATGTTCCTCTATTCTGTTTTGCTTGATAGTACCAGGTTCGAAAGTTTAGGCAACAGCTGTGAAGATAGTGGGATTCATTATGACGCCCATTCTGGTTGACTATTATCTACTTTTGAAGACCTGTAATGTTTCCCATGTTTTGGTTTTGTTGGTTTCGTTCTTTACTGTTTTGTTCAATTTTATTATAACTGATGATATAGGCAATTCTATTAGAGATAGCAGGAGGCATTATGGTAACTATTGTTGATCACCTTGTATTATGTTTTTACATTATCTATTATGTCCACCCTTTTGATTTGACCGACTCTGTTCTGTTATAATATTTGGTTTTACTCTCTTCCAAAAAAGTAATAAGAACCGTGGGAGTAATAAAACCCAAAATGTGTAATAGTCGTTGTACAAAAGAGAGGAAAAGAAAGTGCTCTAAATGATATAACTTCATGTATATTTAAGTGTATAAGATAGACAATGACATTACTAAGCTTTGTTGGATCATTGAACAGAACAGTTTGCAGTCTCACTGTTTGAATGTCCACTTTATATGGTTTAATTTTGTAACTTGAACAAATATTTCTAAGATGACAATATGTAATCCAGTAACAAGTAATTTTGTACTGTTTATTTTTTTCTGAAATTCTGTATAACTTGTACCCTTTTTTTTCTCTTTTTCTCCTTAAATAAAATGAAATAAAATAAAAGTATATAAGAGAAGCAGTGACAACACAGACAGTTCCTGGTGCCTTGAGGCCCTCGGATGTCCTAGGGCCACTGTGGTGGACTCGACCCTGAGCCCTGGCTCATCAGTCTTCACGGCAGTCGGGAGGCTCACAGTGAAGGGAAGTGGTGTGTCTCAGCTGTTGTAAGTGTTGGAGCCGGAGTCCCAGAGAGATCTGTGTGACTCGGAACCCATCCCTCAGCACTTGGAAGGTCGGTGGCCTTCAAACTCCTTTGAACCTGACTCTATAAAACACAAAAACAATTTCCTCCCATGACTCAGTGTGCCCCCATACACATTAACTCCAGAGGAATAATGCCCTCATTGTAGTGCCCCTTATAATTATATTTTTGGTTTTTTAAAATTTCCTTTAAAAAAGTTTTATGACCCACTAGATTATAACCACTCTTATGACTCAGCCCTCTATTGGGAAAACATTGCACACACCCATCACTGTGTCTTACAGGCCATCCTGCCTGCCTCCCCCCCAAGGTGGGCAGTGTGCCCCAGATTTACAGATGGGGAACACTGATTCACGGTAGAGGAGCCCCTAAGATTCCCTGAGTGTGCATTGCCACACAGCTGTACGTGCCCTTACACTTCCTCAGGGGAAGCAGTCGTCTGCCCTGTTCCATCCTGGTACCCACCAGTGCCTGCCGGGGAGCAGCACCCAGGAGCCGAGCGTTGAATGACTTCATGAGTAACAGGGTCAGGGTGTCAATTCCAGCTCAGTCTCCCCGCCCAGCCTTCATTGTTCCAGCTTTCTTCAGCTTTCTCCTGCCTCCTGGAAATGCACCCAGTGCTCACAGACACTGTGCTCAGAGCCAGACCTGTAAGACCAGAGAGGTCGGTCTGAGACCTCAGCCAGGCCCTCACAGCCTCCATGGACCTGAGAAGGGCACTCTGTCCTCCAGAGAGGCCAGTGGCAGCTATGGGGAGTCCCTCAGTGCTAAGGCCAAGGTGCTAAGAGCCAGGGCCATGCATGCACCAGAGGAGATCCAGCTGCAGATGGAGCCTCTGGGATAGGCAGAGTACCAGCCAGAGGGGCAGGGATGGGCACCTGCAAGCCGCAGGCAGAGGCCAGGCCACACAGAGGGCAGTCAGGAGAGTCCAGACCCCGCCCTGCAGAACCCCGCCCTGCAGATTCCTCAGGTGCGTGGTGGTGAGCAAGGGCCCTGTCCTCCTCAGGAGCTTTGCCCAAAGCATTGCCCCTACTTGCTCTAGGATGGACTGGACCGTGCCACCTCCTGTTTTAGTTTCTTCCGTGGAGAAAGCACCCAAATCCAGGGTTGTGAGCAGAGCTTAGAGCCAGCCTCTATATCCAGTAGCACTGCAGGTTGGATTACTCAGGTCAACTCTCGAGGTAGACATGATTAGAAATGCAGAATAAAATAAAAACACCCTCCTAAAGGCATTCAAGAGCCATGAGAGTGTGAGAAGCTACCAGGCCAACAGGCAAGTAAGAGGAAGAGCTCAGGGAAGACTGCCGCTCCTGGTGCCCCTGTGTGTTTACCTCACCGAGGCCTGGAGGGGATGAAAGCCAGCCCTCAGGAAAGAAGCGATCCACGTGGCAGCTTCTCTCCCCAGAGAGGACCTACTGGAGTCCCATGTTGCAGAATATGAAACGATGTTGTTTACTATCTGAAAGGAAGAAAAAGACACTTTTTCATAACATCCTTGGGAACAGGAAAATGCTTTTAGAGAGGGAGAATGTCACAGAAGAAAAGATTCACCCTAGAGACAAAAATCAAAATAAACACTCCATGGATGTGTAGAATAGCAGATCAGATAGAGCTCAAGAGAGAAGCTGCGAATTAGATGACCACAGTAAGGAGAGTAACAGAGACGGCCAGCATACAGGAAGAATTAGAAGACACGGTAGATAGAGTAAAAAGGGTGTGATAAACATCCACTTTGCATTCCAGGCGAAGAAGAGTGAAAGAATGAAGCAGAATTAATGATTCCAGGAGTAATGTTTAAGAATTTCCAAATGTGAAGAAAGACGCCATAGTTTTAAGAAGACCGACAAATATTATAAAGATTAAAAACAGGAAATTCACATGGAGACTCATCAGAATGAAATGAGAACACCAAGGACAACAGATATTTAAAGCTGTCGAGAAGGGGAAAAACTAGAAAACGGTGTACTCAGAAGACAGTGGCGGGTCAGCAGCTGCCTTTCCCAGCAGCTGTGGGGGGCAGGCAGTAATAGAGAAGTTTAGCATGTGCTGAGTGAAGACAGATGCCAAGCCAGAAGTCTACACACCGTAAACACATCTTTCAATGATGAGGAAAAGTAAGGCTTCTAAGTAAAAGAGAATAAGGAATTGCCACCAGAAGTGTCTCACTAAAGACAATGAAAAGGGTAGATTTTGAATATAAAAATATCAATGCACAAGGTTGATCAAAGGTTAAATGGACTTAAAATGTTCTAAACCTGTTCTATTGTCCAGAAGAAAAGTAAGGATATTGATTAACTTTAGCTATTGATTAGTTTTGAATACATGAGTTGTTAATCTCTAGGTTAACTATTAAAAGAACATAAATGGAGAATGTACCTATCAAACTAGCTGAATGGTGAAGAAATACTCTAATCAAGGCAAGAGATGAGAGGAAAAGAAACATAGAAAATGTGGGGTATATAAAAACCACAAAATAATGTCATAGAAATAAATGTAGATATATTGGGTGTTACGGTTTGTGTCTAGGTGGCTCCCAAACCTCAGGCAGTCATGGAGGCGGCTGAATCTAGCGTTTGCTGGGATTGGCGGTGTGAATGCTCCACCCACTCAGGGGTGGAGCCAGCATACAGTATAAGGGAGGGAAGAAGGTGTGTTTTTTTCCCCTTTTGCTCTTTTTGCTCCTGCTGCTTGTGGCCGCTATGAATGGCTGTCCTTCAGCCATACCACCCTGCCTTGGAACTGAATACAGTATGAATAAGAGCCAGGTAAATAGCTCTTATACTGTATTACTTAGGGAATAATGGCAAGGAAAAAAATGTCTGTCCATGCTTAGTAGAGATGCATTGTTTTAATTATTTTCAATCTGTACTTGGTTAGATCTATGGAGAAGAAGCCTGTGGATATGGAGGAAGGCTGACAGCATTTGTATGGTTTATGGATGCTCTGTGCTCTAAACCCTCCTTCATCATATGGGATCTTTGTGTTCTTTGCAGTTCCTTCCTTCAAGAGATGAATTTAATTCCTTCCTCTTTCGGTGGGGACTAGATTTAGTCAGTCTGTTTGTTTTTGGTGGTGGTAAGGGGATTAGGATCTGGTTATATGAATTAGACTGTCCTCAAATGCATGAGGATCTTCCTGTCTCAGCCCCTGAGTGCTGAGATCATAGGCCTGCACCACCACGCCCAGCCAGTGAGTCATTTCTTACAAAAAGAATAAAACAAAGTGATGAAGTGTGATTTTGGAGATTAGGCCATAGAGGGCACTGTGACTTCCTCGGTGTTGTTCTTGGGTTTTTGACTCTGGAGGAAGCTTTTTATCCATCAGCCTAGGAATGGGCTCTTTGAGTGAGGAGCTGAGGCCACCTAGGGAGGACAGCCCTAATGATCCCAGCACCTGCCAATATCCTGGTCACAACCCCAAAAGAGACTCTGAGCTGGAACCATCCAGCTAAAATGTTCCTCAATTCTTGTCCCACAGAAGCTAGGAGTTAATAAGTGTTTGTCATTCGCTGTTGAGGTTTGGGACAATTTGTTACACAGCAAGAGGTAGCAAATACATATCACTAACTTGCTGTGTGGCCAAATTGAATTTTCTTCCTGGAAAGTTTCCTCACACAGGAGAAGTTAACCAGGCTGTGAGCAGCAGCAGATGGGTCTCCTCTCGCTGCAGACATGGCAACCCCTGGGTACAGCAAGGACTCTGAGACTGAGATCAGGCATTGATGGGAAGGGGAGAGGACCAGGAGGAGCAGCCTGTTTATCCTGCATATTCTGCCCCAGAATAAGGGCCCCCTAAGTCCTTGGTGAGGAAATGATCTCTGTTTCTCCCCTTACTGAATAAAACCCTTTTGGGATCCCAAGCTCTATGCTCAGCAGTAACAAAAGCAGCAGTTTCCTAGCCCAGGAGCTGGTGCTCAAAGCCCTCATGATTAAAATTACTCAATTCAGAAGCAGTGGCCCAGGCTCCGGAGATAAACCCGGTCCACATCTTGTCTGTTACTTAGGATCTGTGACATCCAGCAACTTCATTCATCTCCTTGGCTTCTTCACCTTAGAGCGGTAGAGATTTCTCCAAGGACTGTATGCACTGCTCTGGCCCCAGCCAGCTTCCCCCAAGGTCTTGGCTCAGGTAGCATCCTTAAGCTAGGTGTGTTTCAGAGATGACAAAGAAACAGCCCAGAGCTCCTGCCCCCCAGGAACTTGGGGTCTTTCAGAGGAGAGGAGAGTTGGCCATATGATACTCACTCTCCAAGAACATCCCAAGCCTGTGGGAGTATAGCACCCGTGAGCTTGGAGTGACTGTTTGATATGCTGAATGGGTCTCTGGATGCACCCCCCAACCTTCAGTGTCACATGCATCCCAGCCCCACACTAGACCTCAGAAGCAAACCTCTGGGTGCTGTTCTAAGCCCACCCCTTGGATCCACCACATGGCCAAGCTTGAGAGCCACTGAGTCAGGGATTAGGAGCAGAGGGCTGGGTCTCCCAGGTCTCCCTGTGCTCCCGGGACCAATGCCTCCTCTTCCTGGCATCCTCCAAAGCCCCGCAGACTCCCACAAGGAGGCAACGAGGCTCTGCCTCGTCCCACAGATGCAGCGGTAAGGGCTCCGCTCTCTCCAGGGCCGACCAAGCAGCTGCAGGAAGCCATGCGCGGTGCACAGGTATTGAATTATGAATGGGTATTGCTCAGAAATAATTGCAAATGTTATTGCCCCCCCCCAATGTGTGTCCTCTGTGAGTTCGCAATAGATTCTGTTGGGTTAACACCTCAGGGTCATTATAAATTCGAGCTATCACACTACCAGCAGGCCAGCGGCTGCAGGGA